GGCGGTTAGAGGTGGGAACCAGAGAGGGGAGCCGTCTCAGACCTGGTCATAGAAATAAGGTAACTGAGTCTGTGTGTTTTATTTCGATCTCTGCTAGCTAATTTTTATGCCAAGAACCTCATTAATGAAGCCATTGCGCTGGCCGCATGGTGGACCTCTGATTAAAAATGGAAGATTGAATACATGTACTTATTTCTGCTATCTTCCAAACCCAATCAAAATGTTAGTTAAAGCAACAAAGAATCTAAAATTTACAAAGACAAATAAAATAGTAGACTTCAATGGGTACGAGATCTTAATAAAACTCTGGAAGCTAGAGAGCAGACATTTGAGTGTTATCTAAACAAGAGAGAGCTAATGTTTAAGTGAGGGTTGGGGTGAGGATAGGAGAGCCATCACATTATCCTAAAAAGGGTCAGAAATGGGGGGTGGTATTAGGTAGTTCTGCAGACAGAAGTTTGAAAATAGGGATGAAAAACAGGGAACTGAAATGTAAGGCATTATAAAAAAGGTGTTAAACTTCATATTGTCTTCTTTAACCCTATATTACATGGTAACAATTCCTTTTACATTAACAAAAAGAAAAAAAAAACCTAAGAATTTTTTTCTCTTATATAAATGAATTGGACAGGCTCTGGATTATCAGCATATCAGATTCAGATAAAGACAGGGCTGAAGCAATATAGAAAAAGAGAAATGAAAGTTCTCAGGCAATGCCCCTCCACACATTTTTTTCCTTTGACTCCTCAAAAGCAGGAGTTCTGGCTTATATTCCTCAAGCAAATCTAGGAGTTCTTGCTGGAGTAACTGACTAGCCCAACAGAAAATGCCTACAGATTCTGATACATGGTCAATCTCCAGGACCATACGAGAAAGAAAGGCAAGAAGAGTGTGCTGGAATGGGGCTAACATGGAAAGGATTAGGTAGAGAAAGAGAACTAAATTATTATGTACATTGTCAAAAATCAATTGAAAACATAAAATATGAGAAACCAGACATTAGCTATATAAGGATGTTATTTAAAAAAAAAAAAAGATGGGGGCTGGGGTTGTGGCTCAGTGGTAGAGCACTCACCTACCAGTGCAAGGCCCTTGGGTTTGATCCT